AGAGAGAGAGAGAGAGAGAGAGAGAGAGAGAGAGAGAGAGAGAGAGAGAGAGAGAGAGAAACATGGTTCAATTACTTTATCGTGAACTATATCAATTTATATGTGCAATTACGTTTTACTTAAATTCCTTTCAGCTATAAATTCCAGTGCAATTATAAAATCCAGTTCAGCATTGAAGAATATGTGAAGTGGGTGACCTCGAATTCTGTGTTTACCTGCCCCTTACAGCACTAGCCAAGAGGTTTGATTATACTGACAAATCTCCCACACCTTCCCTACATATATACACACTTCAGACTATAGCCCGACCAGGCTGTGCGACGGATTGTCTATACATAGGGGATCCTAACCCTAGCGATACCGTTTCTTGGAGCTAACTTCAGACCTACATAATATGTAGGTCTGAAGACAAGTGTATACATGTAGGGAAGGTGTGGAAGATTTGTAGGAGTCAGATGTAGATTAGATGTGGTTAGATGTAGAGTTAGATGTTAGGAGCCAGTTGCTTGTATAATAGCATATAGCATAATAGCATTATAGCATAATAGCATATAGCATATAGCATAATAGCCATAGCTTGCATAATATGCTAGCACTGCACAAGCAACTGGCTCGATCCTACATCCAGCAATGCAATGCACCCAGCACGTACATGTCGCTAACAAAAAAGGTACGGTTTACAAGGGATGCGAGGGATGCTGCTAATCGTAAAGGAACTGAAGCCACGTACGTTTTCGTGCTTGAAGTAGCAGAGCATCTTAAGCTCACGGTAGACGCGTCTGCTCGACACGAGATTCTGGAAGACGTTTGGCATCTTCTTGAGCGCCAACCGCTTGCCATCCCGGGGATCCGTCACTGACCTGCGTCGAGCAAAAACAGAAGAGCATCAGGTTATATTCATTTCCGGTATTGACCAGACACAGTAACATCGCCAACCACCCACGATATTTACACAGCAATACACACCACAAATCAGTGAAAAAAATACACGGGGGCTCGGGGCGATTTAGCTCCAGAAATGCCAAAAAGAGCCCCCGTAAATTTGCATATAGAGTTCAATGCAAACCAAATTTTCGAGTGCTATTTTCATGCACGCGAGCTTGAAAAGTAGCCCCCGAAAAATAAATTTTATAAATTTTTTCCCTGCCACAAATGTTGCAACAATTAATCACGACACGACTAATTGCGCTAATAAACGGAATCACCGTGATACGAATTAAGATACAGAGCTCTACACACGTGCCTACGCTACAGCCAGAGGTTTAGATACATTCTTGCAGGAGGAAAGACAGAATAATGCTAGACGGAGCCTAATACGAGACGGTACAGGCCCGAGGCAGTAGGCACCTTCTAATACCCCCCCCCCCCACACACACACAACAGACCCCTCTTCTGATTTCACTGCACCGACACAGCAACAATTTTACGTTTAGCCCCGTGAGCTACGTGATCCCACTGCAGGCCTAGGGGGCAGCTATATATATGGACGCACACGCATGTAATGGGTGAGCGGCGGCGGCGCTGACATGCGAACAACAGATGAGGAATTGATGCCTAATTGTCAATCTACTGTTGCTCATGGGGAATTACAACTATGCAGGATTCGTGCGCAATGTATGCAAATTGGCCAACGTGAGATGACTAGCAGTAGCACACACGATTACCTTTATACTTGCACACTCGTACAATATAATACCACACATTATTTTTAAGGCTTATTTTTAAGTTCGATATTTTACCTAAGTTAAATCGTAACAAACAACATTTCAAATGCAGTTGGTAAAGATAGCTAGTAATAGTATTATACCGTGTGAACTACTACATTGCAAAACATGACAATCAGTCGTTTGCCGAGAGCTGAGTTCACTTAAGCCCGGCGCACATTGCCGAACATTTTGCTCAAAAACATTATCGTAGCAATGTTCCAAGAAATGTTCGGCAATGTGCGGTGAAAAAAGTCGCCGAACATTTGTTCTGAACAATTTTTCTGAAGATCGGAAATGTTTGATATCTCGAACATTGTTCGTCGAATGTTCGTCAATGTGCGCTAAATGTCGAACAATTCTAGGAACATTTGTAAAGTAGTAACCAATAGCAGCACGATATGTGGTCACATGATTTTTGTGCCCAATCATGTGCTGATCATGTGACTCTTTACAACACAGCTACTAGACGGCGCCACGAGGTTGTTCGCTGCAAAATGTTCGGCAATGTGCGCTCAGCAATTGTTTACCCGCACATTGCCAGACAAAAACATATGTTCGGACAAACATTTGTTCGGAAAAATGTTCGGCAATGTGCGCCAGGCTTAATGGAATGGTCTGCAGTTATACCCAATTTATTTGCTATGAAGGAATAGTTAGCAACTAACACATGTATGAAAAGTCAATATAGAATCACTAACTTTTACAGTATTGGAATTAAGGAAGTAGTGTGTTGTACTTTGTATTGAAACGCATTTACATGTTCTCAGTCAATACTAGGCTAAATTATTATACGAGGGGAATGTAAAAGACCATCATAGGTTAAACTAGCGAGAAAAAACCAATGCGATGGCAAGCAATGCTTTTGAGAAAGCATGCCCCCCATACAGGCAAGGGATTGGAATTTTGCTCTTCCTTTGAGGAACAAACACAGACACATACTTCTCAAGCACAATTCGAGAAAAACTGCATTACATTTGGAAAAGCATAGAAAGTACCAGTTCAACCGAACTCATGCAGAGTCATGTAGAAATCTGCTGATTACATTCAATTAAAGGGACAGTAGACTCTAGGATTTTACTGCATACAACTGTACTTACTGTATAACAAATCGTCTATGCCCACACGTATTTGTTACCAGATACCTAATTTAATTGTTATAATTAATTACACATCAACGCTACGAAATTTGAACGGCGCCATGACACCCGCGACCGTGCTGCCACCCCGAAAAAGTTGCGTATTTCACAATTTATTTTGCACGGTACAGACCGAGGGCTAATGCACAAAAGTAAGATTATATTTATACTTAAATGCTATTTAACCGAACGATATTCATTTTAGGCGCAAATTTATCCATATTATAAAATGAAACTATATGCCGTTTATAAGATATTACAATGCCTTTTGCTTTTAAATGAATAAAATAAGAAACACACCTCGTCTGTAGCCCTTGCTGGAAAGTGGTTTTGCGGCACATTATCAGATCGTGCGGCTTTGAGTGGCGCCACCGTCGTTGTAATCAAACTGTAGTCGTTAGTTTTAAACATTAAAAAAAAATATTTCTAACGGTGATTGAACGCATGAAACTGTTTTCTGTAGCGTAATTATAACCTAAATTAGCTGAAAATAACCCCAAAACCTAGAGTAAACTATCCCTTTAACTTTGACCAACATGTTTAACAGCTGATCATATGATAATTATTATATGCGTATCTACGTACATGTGCGGTACATAGTAATTTTAAAACATGACCATTCTTTTACCACGTACACCTGAATTCAATGTACTGTACTGTCGTCGAGTACCCTGAATACATAGATATCAGGGGTGAATAATGACAAATTGTTAGTATTCACTCCTGATAGATATGTACTACACTTGGTAATGGTTGGATACAGCATGGCAACACGGTTGTATTTCAATGGTAACCAGGTGGGAACTGGAACAATACACAATGCACATAGATCTGTACATAAGCATTTGTTTGCGAGCTTGTGCCAGGTCTGGTCACCTGTACGAACAATGCATCCCCATTAGGCCGGGCCCTACGTAGCTAGCTGGCTACCTCATGATAAGCTGTATCCCGACGCTCTTTCAGTCTTTGTCTCTCATTCTGTTCATTCACCAGTTAGGCTCACAAAAGCAGAAATAACGGCCATCTTAGCCATACAGGAAAACAGATTAACGCATCAGTGTGCAGAGCACGGGTGCAGTAGGCACTAGAGAACATGTATTACTGAATAAGAAGTTAAGAACATTTTCTTTCTTACCAAACAACGCCGAACGCTCCGTAACCGATCGGTCTGTCAGGCTGTACGTCTGCAGACAGGGGTGCAGGGTGGTATCCTGCAGAAACTGACTGTGCGGCTGCTAGTATTGCATTCTGTGTTCCATGATAAGCCATAACTCCTCCGCTCTTCCGTCTAGACCTGTGGCCAACCATCGCCAAACGGTCCGTGCAAAGACGATTAGAATGTCATTTTCTGTTCACGGTATCCCGTACGAATGCTTGGTTCGCGAGCTAATAAAGGGGACAGAGAGCGATCGGAAACTCAACTCACTGCGCCCAATTCTGTTCACGATTACACTTCTAGCTGGTGTTCTGCCGAGCCATCGTCGTTCCTAGAAACTGCCTGCCTCACAAAGGAAAGCGTCCAAGATCGGTGAGTCTACCAAATCCGGTAGAGCCGTCGAGAAACAGTCACAAATTACGTCTCACACGACCGTAGTACAGCTGATGGTTGGTTGTTCGCGAACCTCTGACTCAAGCACTGAGTCACACAATGACGGTCACGTGACCAAGCTATACCGCGGTGCTCCGCGATCGTGCAAACAAGTGACACTTTTTAGAAGTTTGACCACAACTCCACTAATAATGCGTGTTATATTTATTATCACGACATACACTACTAACTCAAGCGCATGTCGTAATCATTGGCTTTGCGGAGATTCCTAGCTTTCCTAGAGTTACTCGCTCCACCGTTCACGCCCAGCACTCAAAGTTAGAATTGTACCAACTGCTCCTCGGTTATCTATCGTGATTTATATTGTTTTAACTAATAAACGATTATATTACGGACGCGTATGTACAGAGACATCTTCACGCTGGCTATACGCGACACGGAAAGAAAACATCTTTACAGCCCGCGCTCTTGTGAGGAAATGGCGCGCCACGCAAATGCACGTCCACTTCACTAAAAGTTCATCGGCCCCAATAGAAAGTGCGAGGCACCAGGTACGGGTTTCCCTTTCTTTTGTGGCTAACCTGTTGCGCGTTATGTCACAGACTTTGTTGTTTGTCCGCAGTGCTAAATTGAGCAACTGCCTGGTACGCGCAAGTATACCTTCAGAGGTAAAGGTCGTTGACTCAGTTTCCATACGCTAGTATGCTTGTAGATGTAGTGGCGCCCTCTATGGCGTATAAACTCAACTGTTTAGAAGTAGGCCAGCCTGTCTACGAGGTGACCGTAGGTCCATGAACTTTTCGTAGTACTAAACTGTATGTTGCTATTAGGCGTGTTACGGGTAGGTTCACAGTACAAGTAAAACCAGTTCAACAACAAAATGTTACACTAAAGGTAAATGAATTCTGAAAAATAAATATCAAGGCAAGTTAGCGTCGAACCAGTATAAGGCCAAGAAACTGGTCGAGCCAATTTAGCGCATATTATACAAAACTTCACGAAACCTCATTTAAACTTAAAATGAAAGCAGGGTTTATGATGAAATCACGAACATAAAAGCATTTTGCATTGCTCTTTCTTATTGTGTGGCGTTATAGTCTAAAGCAGGTTATAGATATATCGATGGGTAAGCGGATATGAGTGAGCGAAGGGAGATGGGAAGAGATAATGACACCCACACACGCATGAACGCGCACACACGAACACAAACAGGCAGGCAGGTAGACAGACAGAGAGATAGACCGACAGACGGACGGACGGACGGACGGACGCTCTCGTGCTCTCTCTCTCTCTCATCTCTCCTCTCTCTCTCTCCTCTCTCTCTCGCGCGCAATGCTCTTTCTCTCTCTCTCTCTCTCTCTCTCGCGCGCAGGGCAGGCAGCTCTTCTCATCTGCTCCTCTCTCTGCCCGTTCTCTCTCTCTCTCTCTGTCTCTCTCTGCTCTCTCCATCTCTCTCTCTCTCTCTCTCTCTCTCTCTCTCTCTCTCGCGCGCGCGCCGCGGCAGTCTTTCGTCTCTCTTTCTCCTCTCTCTCTCTCCTCTCTCTCTCTCTCCTCTCTCTCTCTTCTCTCTTCTCTCATCTCACTCCTCTCTCTTCGTCGCTCTCTCTCCGCTCCGTCTCCCTCCTCACGCTCTTCTCCTCTCCCTCATCCGCGAGCTCCCGCGGGGCCGGCCCCCGCCATCGGCGCCGGACGCCGGGCGCGTCCGGTGGGGCCCGCGCGCCTCTCGGGTTTTGCGGCGCGTCCCCGGTCGCCTCGGATCGGGTCCCTCTCCCCTCCTCCTCCTCCTCTCTCTCTCTCGCTCTCTCTGGTCTCTCTTCTCGCCCGCGCGCGCGCTCTCGCTCCATCGTTCTCTCGTCTCTCTCTCTCATCTCTCTCCTCCTCTCGCTCGCTCTCTCTCCCTACACTATGGGACGTAACCACTAGCCCAACCGTTCATGTATAAGACCATTAGCTGTTCTAACCTGTGATCGCTATATCTATCCTACATCACAGGGTATAAATTATATATATATATATATATATATATATATTATAAGTCAAGAGTACATAATAGGAGACATACATAAACATCTCCTATTATGTACTCTTGATATAAATGCAACCATATGCTCGAACAAGTCGCGAGAATAAACACAGATATTACGGAACAGTTAGACACGACTCAGAGTAATTTCATTATTTAGACGTTAAAAACGTTGGCATACACTCATAGTATAAACCCAGCGTGCGGTCCTTACGTGTTGACTATAGTGCTCTGACCCGACCTGTTTAGCATTTGAAAAATATGCACCAGAGACCGCATACCAATAGCAACGCATTATGTCAGTCTGTTTGATGCGCTCGGTGTGTGTGTGTGTGTGTGTGTGTGTGTGTGTGTGTGTGTGTGTGTGTGTGTGTGTGCGCGCGTTGTGCGTGCGTGCGTACGTGGCGTGTGTGAACTAAATCATCAATAACTGTCCTACTCTTTCCTTTTATCCCGGCTGTGTATAGATAGTCCGCTTCCCCGCCTGTTAAAAATTGCGATCCCCACTCTAGCAGATTTTTATTCCAACGTTTTTCATGACAATTTTCCAGATTTATTACTTCATTAAGTGTAAACAATCAGCATAAAACGTAGGGATAGAGGATTAGTGCTATGAAACTTTTATACGTACTTGTGTTTTTACCCTATTTTTTGATTAATGCGATCGGAATTGCACAACACGTGCAGATATATCACGAACAGACACATTTTTGCCATAGATAGATGACAAATAGATGACAAAATAGATGTGCGAAATAGATGACAAAACTATATAAAAGTGGGTCAATGTGTATTAATGCACGCACGCAACGCGCACACGCACGCACGCACGCACGCCACGAACTCACACACACACACACACACACGCACCGCACGCACGCACGCACTCCACAGCCACGCACGCACGCACGCACGCACGCACGCACCTTTCACTACACACAACACACCCACGACACACACACAGCACACAGCACACACTCACACACAACACATCTCTGACCGGGCGAAGTCGAAAAGCGTATAGTGTGCAGTCTAGATAGTGGAAGTAGGTACTCAAGCATTAATTAATTAACTAACATTTCTGATGACCAACTAATGACTAATGTGATGGGGCACTGCCATGGTAACGCCTAAATTAGTGATTGCATTTCATGGAAGCGCGTCGGTGATAATTTGTCCGATTCGAACGGGTTCGGCCCAGTATAGTATTATATATGGAGGCCATGACTACGAGCAAGTAACAACGAAACAGTGCTAAGCAGTAGAGGCGACACAGTGCGTCAACACCGTGTGAAATATAATTCCTTTTACACGACAACAAACCGCAAGTGAATGTCGCGAAAATATAATGTAAATATGTAATCAGTGCCTACCCGTGGTGTGTGGAAGCACGGACGTTGACATTTTTAAGTCAAGGCTTCACTCCTACAGTGCACGCAAACCCAACTTTAAGAGGACAAACCAGTTGCATTGCACTCAATCATCATTATGCACCTGTTTGTTTATTAGGTTTATCCTGAAGGCACTTACACCTTGTCATTATATCCAGCGTAGTGGACACCGACAAGTATGAGAACATAACAGTGCATGCATGTACACGTTGATACAAAGAATGCCATAAGATAGGAGAAATAAACTTGTAGCCCTTTTATGCTTATTTAGTCTCACCTGTCCGTTGCTATATATCTGCAGTCTGTGACGAATTATTTAAGTTCCAAGCATAATATTGAAAAAATAAATATTTATAAATATTTAATAAAATTTTTATATTATGCTTATTATTATATTATAAGCATATATATATATATATATATATACATATATATGTATATGTATATATATACATATATATATGTATATATATAATTATGTATATATATTGATTATATTATATATGTATATATATAGTATGCTATAATATAGTATATATGTACATATGTATATATTATGTATATATAATATGTCTATATTATAATATGTATATATAATATATACATATATATATATGTTATATACATATATATGTATATACATATATATATATATATTATAAGCATATATTATATGCTTATAATATATTATGATAATATTTATATCGTCATACATACGTTCCACGGTGCATAATACGCAACTAGTGGGTTTAAACACGATTGCATTGTTACATAGTCAGGAGGGCTTATGCAGCGTAACAGCTAGAGGCCCAAATCTGCAAATTAGTGAAAGAACATTTTAATGGGTCAAATCTTGGTTTCATATGTTCTCAAACCTAAGAATTTTTTTACCCGGAGCCGCAAAACATTTGACACCCGAAACCCCCCCCCCTCCCTTATGGCCCGGTAAAGACCCGAAACTGTTATTGTGCCATATCTTACCCTTCTTTGGTCGATTTGAGCAAAAGTTAAGTCGAATTTTGGGTTTTATAACACAAGGAAATCATTGGGCGTGGTTTGGAACCTAAATTTGTCTATAGTCACGTGATTATGCGTTCCTGTCGGTTCACCTCGGCGCGCGGCCCGAAAATGGGTTTCACATGACTCGCTCGGCTATTTGTTTTTCAAACAAGTTAGTCAATTTTGGGGTTTTGAAGGTCAAAGGTTTATTAGATACACCATGATACACTTTCAGACTCCTGAAATATCGGTTTCAACCCTGGTACAGCACAGTACCTAACACGTAGTCAAAATATCTGACAGAACTGACCAGTCCACGACATCATCCTCGGTCCACTTGTTTCATACACAGCCCACACTGCCCTGCATATTCCATCCTGTACATGCTTCAAGTTAGTAGATTTGTGCACTTCCTGGTGGGCAATTGCAGAAAGAAAGGCACATGACATTGTTCTTAGCGCATTTGCATGACTGGCACTTGAGTTGTTCGGCAGCGACAAATGCCAATCACGATCTCGAGGTTGCGTCTTGGCTGGTCCGGTGTCCATTGAGATGTGGAGTTGGTTCTGATAGAGTTTCCATCCCAACATCTCAGAGGAGGGTGGGGATCTGAGTACAAGGGTGTTAGCCCCATGAAATGGCCATAAGGCAATGCATTCTCTAAGATTAGGCCCTGACCAAGCAGCAAGAAACAACAACACAAGAAAATCAAATGCAACGGCTGGGTACGGAATTGATCTCGGTAAATCGCGAGGAACAACGATATCTTCGTAAGGGCTTGAACTCTGCGCTGCCAGAAATTCAGCGCACTATCTGTCTGCAATAGAGGGGCCCGTACATTAGCCGTCAACGATCACACAGGAGATCACCCTTCCTTTATCCGCAAGTTCATATCAGACTGTCAAAAAGTTCAACCGTACAATTCTTTATCAATCCATTTACGTCTCAGAATTGTTTGGAAGACCTGAATTCCTCCAATATCTTCCCAGAGGTTAATTGTTGATGATGTAGGAAGGGCTGTTCACGAATTGGAGTGCAAACAGTATGGACGAGTTATGCGTCGCCACTAGATTCGTCTATGGAACAGTGAAGATATTATCAAATCAGAAAGGTAAGTACAAGAAACATGCTGAAGCTTCCATACAGTGCCGATGATGGTGGATTGTGAGACGCCTCGCAATCAAGGTCACGCAGCAACTGTTCAACAAATCGAGAGATGCTTGCCAAGAACCGGTGAATCGGAGACAAAGAAACTTTTCGAGGGGAAGATACCCCGATTACTGAGTGCTTCATCAAAAGGATGGATCCCCTTATCCACAGTTCAAGTCAACAGATTTTGGCTGACATCACCGAAAAGCGCGGCTTACACCAAGATCCCACAATGTCGAAGGTCTCGTTTTGACCTTTCAGTGATCATTCCGAGCGCAGGCTGCAGTCCTTCCAGAGGGTCAACCTTCATGGAATGTTGTCTCCAGGGTCCTGCAGAGCATTGAGATACACTGCCACAACGCCTTGGGCCGCGTCTCGAATCGATATTGTAGCAGCACCAGTATAACCCGTTAAGCATCAAGAGCCTCACCCGCCTCGAAAGGAAGTCCAAATGTTCAGACCGGCAAGTTAACTTTACTGGTGATAGGCACTGTTCCCGAAGGATATGTTCTAAATCTTTCTCACAGATGACATGCAGAACAAGACCAGACTTAATGCACTAATTGCGGAAAGCTTGGCTAACCCATCCTCCTGTCAGCTGGAAAAAGATTTCTGTGTCACTAATGTCTTGTGAAATGTCTACACGAATGCTGGTGAAAGACTATATGACATGCCAAAGATGGAAACCCTAGAGGAAAGAGGCGGTCAACAGGATGGTGTGCCCCTATAATTGACATGTTGGCAATGTGGTTTATCGCGATTGACTGTACGGTACAGTTGATCGGACGTATTTTCATTCTTCTCGCCTTTATGGCCCCAGTTCCTCAAAATCGACCCTGACTTTGAGGCTTCATGTTGATTTTTTTTAACACTGAAACGAACCCGGAAAGAACATACATGTCAATGTTTGTTATGAAGTCCACTAGGGAGGACGTCTGGCTAGGCCTTTGCCATTCTTACCACTGCTTCACTGGCGCCGATTCTACCTGCTCTTTCAACAAGCCTGACGCAAGAAGATGTGGTTTTTTGCTCATGGAATAAGTGATCGATGAGGATGAATGACAGAAGGCATTTAAAACAACTAGGCTGGTGCCCAACAGAACAAGTGATCCCCTGCAGCAACAGAAAGATAACCTTGTGGATTTGTGTGGCTGTGTATACTCAAAGAGGGCTGTGTACGACAGATCTCAATGAACTGGCGGTTGCTCATGTTCCAGGCGCTCAGGTTTCTGGATGAGTAAGGACCTCCACCTTCATTGGAATTCCTTCCAGACTGGCGTACGCCGAAGCGCCTATCAGGAGATGGTGTGGGGTAACACCCTCACTCAGATCCCCAGCCCTCCTTTGAATGTTGATGGAAACTCTATCAGAAACAACTCCACATTCAATGACCACGAACGCAGCAAGACCAAAACCTCGAGGTTCGTGACTCAAGTGCCAGTCATGCCAAATGCGCTAAAGAACAATGTCATGTGCCTTTCTTTCTGCCTTTGCACCGGAAGTGCACAACAATCTCTTAATTGAAGCCATGGTGAGTCTGAAAGTGTTCATGTGTATCTAATAAATCCTTTGACGCTCAAAAACCCCAAAATTGACTCTAACGTTTTGGAGAAAATAGCGAGATATGTGAAAACGCCATTTTCAGGGCGGCGCGAGGTGAACCCGAAGGAACAATATTCTCGTGACCCCTATGAGAAATTTTGGTTACAAACCCGCCCATCGATTCCTTGATCGTTAAGAACCCCTAAATCGACTGACTAACTTTGCTCAAGATCGACCAAAGAAAGGGCAAAGATATGGCAAACTAACAGTTTTCGGGTCCCCTTACCGGGCACCATGGGGGGGGGTTGTTTCCCGGGTCACATTTTTGGGGCTCCTCAAAAAAATTCTTAGTTGAGGAACAATATAAACGCCAGAATTTGATACCCAAAAATGTCTTTCATAATTTTGCAGGTAAATGTGCATAAGCCTCCTGCTAACACGCCGTGTACCATTTTTACAATGACACACAATGCTGACAATACGCGCGTGTAAATTATTTTCCCCGATAGATGGCGCCACGATGTCAATTTTTATTTTGAAAAATCGGAGGTCTTCACACATATCTGTCATAATTATCTTGTCTTGTCTTGTCTGAGACTGTACTAATCGCCTGGTGTGACTATAAACGTACAGGTCATCATGCATCGCTTTGATGACCTAATTTATCTTCACAATTTCTTTACTGCTGTTAATTATATTTTTGAATGAAGCCACATCAGGAGCAGTCTTACTCTTGGTAGTAGGTGGTAGTGCATTCCATGTTGGTGGTATTGTCCGGGAATAAAGAGAGTATCTATAAGAGACGTTGTTGCCTAATTGATCCATAGTACACACTGGCCATGTTACACCAAGGGTAACAAGCTACACTTAGTGACCATATACATAGGTTATCATTTGTGACGGGCAAGTAACTTTACACGCACGTTACCATAAATAAATATCTTAGGATACCCTTAGGCTTAAGTTTAGCTTCATTGCTTCTGTCATTCCATATTGGAATTTACTTCCTTCTTATCTGGTTAATTGAAAAATTGAAGCCTTTCTGCTGCAATTTGCAGTGTTGATCTGTCTATTTTATCAGCTTTGTCTCTCTCTGTCTACGATATAGTCCCCTTGATTTTGAAGATAATCATTGTGAAGTTATAAGGATAGTTTGTATGCTATGTTCAAACGGGGCTGCAGACTATCCCGTGTATCAATCCATCCATCCATAATAAATGACAAAATTTAAATCACTAGTTCAATATGCATTAGGTTCTTTTTCAAGTAACAATAACAATACACAGTCGTAGACTCTATAGAACATCCATGATAGGTAACATCATGTACTATCATTCATGTTGGAGATAAAAAAATAATATCATTATGGAATTCATTATTGACAGCAAAACAGAGATATGCCACTCAACTTTAACTGTCGCTGAAGCATAATTACATGTGACGACGTATCACAATTATATGAAGCTGCGCAATAAGAGGAGCGCACCTGAAAACCTTTTATGCAAAAATCATTTCAAATTTAACCAATTTAATTTTCAATAATACCATAGATAAATATAAATCCAGAGCAAAGATGCCGAAGAAATAAATATAACCTCTTTACATCTTAAATTATCCTGTTTCATATTTACATTGTTTATGCAACACCCATTGGAAACATATTTTCACTCTATAGTATGTCAAAGAAATTTCACTCATTGGGTTCCTTAATATAAATAGTATATACATTTATCTTACTGGAATCACTTAGTTTATCTCATTACCTCATACCAGAATGTAATTAGCATTTATAAGCATCATCCTCATCCTCTTTATATGTAACACAGCCACAGACAATATCACTCATTGGGACCGATGGGGACGATGGACACGATGGTTGCCAGGTCAACTTCTCTGCCAGACGTCATCTTCACTGCTGCCTGTGTTTTCTTCAACCTGCGAGTGCAACACGAAAATTGCGATACACAATAATTTCGTTTCATAGCCATGCTCTTGTGTACAAAACAATATGTTATTTCGCTTCTCATATGGTTGCTGATTTAAAACGACTACGCATCACAGTCTGCACGAAAAACTTCCACCCTCATTGGCCCAGCGGGCCTGTAGAAATTATGTATGTAGCCTCCCAAACAGTTCCAAATCCCCGCATTAGTCAATTCTTATCACAGGCGTTCAATGATGGGAAATTTAGAAAAGTGCTGATATCTCGGTTGTTAAAAATGCTAAAGTAGGTGTTTTTTTCAAGCGCTATTTCTCGAAACTCGCAACTCCGATTCCAAAATTTTTTGTTACGTTTCAGTGCTAACATATCAAAGGAAAAAAGGGTCCCTGGGATTTTTTTTAAATATTTTATTTTGTGAGTTATGGGCCACTCTTTGTTTACGAAATTGTTGCGTCTAGAAATTCACTACAAATTTTTGTATATCTTTTCAACTTATTTCCTAAATTAAAGCATTTAAAAAAAATTCCAGGGACATTTTTTTAGTTCATATGATGAACAACATGGTTAAAAGTGTAAACTCAACTCTTTGCTGTTTCTAAAAAATAGCAAACAAAGAATGTTTTTGTATAAATTCACAATTTTTGCTGTCAATTAATTAGCAATGAATTTGTAAAAAAAAAACTCCATCAAGAGCGTAGAAAGACATCTCTCGTATGTAATGGATATGAGTTTGATTGAATTTGATGAGTAGTTAGGTTCCAATGGCCTTTACAGTGTTACCGGTCTGTAACTCTAACAGTATGCGTAACTTCACTCCGACAGTTTACTTTAGTTTTCCCAATAGATGGCACCACCTGTCATATTAAGGTCTTTTCTGCCTGTTCAATGTAACAAACTGCAGTAACATCTCCCAGGCACCAACAACATATAAGCCAGGTTCCAACAAACCAAAGGGTGATGTCTGGCAACATAACTAGGGAGTGTAGATGTATTTACTTAGTTAACCAGACAGTTTTGCTTTGTAAACATAAATGAACTTGCTCCCATATGGTCTAGTGGTTAGGATTCGGCGCTCTCACCGCCGCGGCCCAGGTTTGATTCCCGGTGTGGGAACTGATAGTTTTACATGTACGAATCTTAGTTTCGCAATGTTTCTACTTTGTTAAGTGAACAGTTTTGCTTTGTGAATATGGAATCAGCTGCTCCCATATGGTCTAGTGGTTAGGATTCGGCGCTCTCACCGCCGCGGCCCGGGTTCGATTCCCGGTGTGGGAACTGATAGTTTTACGTGTACGAATCTCAGGTTCGTAAATGTTTCTACTTTGTTAGTTATTATTTCGATTTCGATTTTTGATTAATAGTTTTGATTGGATTTTGCACCCGGCAGACATTCCTCCCTGCACCGGCCATATTGAATAATGACGAAATCTCGGGTAACAATCTTCTTTTTTTTAAATTAAATGTATTAGTGTTAATTAAATTTAATTAGGGTTAGGGTTAGGGTTAGGGTTAGGGTTAGTCAGAAACGGAGTCGAGGTTGGGAGAAATGTCTGCCCGGCAACTAACCTGTTTTGATTACCGCCACCATTCCTTGCGAAGCTCGGACTAGCGCCAGCTATCGGCCAATTTCAAAAAAGAAACGGAGTCAACTTCACAGAATCAGATGCCCCTTTGTTTGAATTAGTTGCAAAATGGGTACACTTGTAACTATGTTAGTGCACAAACAAATTACAAGTGCACGCATTCTGACTAAGGAGCCAATTGCAAAGTTATTGTCGCCATAATCAAATATGCTATGGTGTTATGATGTATTCAAATCCAATTTTCTATGCAATAACTGCATAAATTCTTAGTGTTTTTCAAGTTGGTGTAATCACTAAAATATCCGCTGTGAGGTGATACTATATTTCGCTATATTTTTTTCAGCTTGAGCGTTTCTGAGCAATAATTTTGCAATAATAACTTTAAATGGACAGTTTTGCTTTTTTAACATAGAATCAGTTGCTCCCATATGGTCTAGTGGTTAGGATTCGGCGCTCTCACCGCCGCGGCCCGGGTTCGATTCCCGGTGTGGGAACTGATAGTTTTACATGTACAAATCTTACTTTCAACATTGTTTCTACTTTGTTAAGTGGACGGTTTTGCTTTGTTAATATTGAATCAGTTGCTCCCATATGGTCTAGTGGTTAGGATTCGGCGCTCTCACCGCCGCGGCCCGGGTTCGATTCCCGGTGTGGGAACTAATAGTTTTACAAGTAAAATTCTCAGCATTAGTTTCAGTAAGCATATGTGTCACTGACCGAAGCCCCATGCAATAAATGCTGCATAGTGGCTTTAATAACTGTATCAGATCCTGACCCAGCCCTCTATGTCAGTCACCCAGTCACGGCATAACATTCTGTAATAACATGATCAGTCTGCACGAAAAACTTCCACCCTCATTGGCCCAGCGGGCCTGTAGAAATGTATAATTCACTGGCCCACACTAGGTTTTACAGGCCCAAATCAATGATCATCATATTATGAAAAGAGAAACCGAACCGGACCAGAAACCGGTAGTTGTTGCGACTTCTAGCGGCGACAAACACACATGGTGTTGACTAGTTACTTCCCCTACTTAAGATCGGGAATATGATGCCCTATCGGTAAATATCGGTAAATTTTCATACAAAATATCGGAAATTTTGGTAAATTCTCAGACTGATCATCACATAAAGAAGCTGAAATATCATTAATATACCATTTACTCCATTTTTTTCCACTGACCCATCAGGCTTGTTCATTTACCAGTTTCATTGTCCCCACGGAAAATTTACTGGCCTCGGATACCAGGCCAGTGGTTAATTTCGCAGACTGGCATCAGTTTATGGCCCTGTACAACTGTGATGCTATACTATAGTGTGAAGACAATTACTGATGGCTGTTCACTAGCCAAATAACGAAAGACTCTACTGTTTGCACAGTAATTACACAATACAAATGGGTTTAGCAAGGGGCCTGCTACATTTATATTCTCTCTTGCTCACTAAATCTATATTTGACCGGAAGATCATTGACAAGCACCTGTATGTCCTGGTAGCAGCCTTGCTTGTGCCTAATCAGATCTCCCCACAGCACTTCTATCTTACATCGGGGGCACTTCCCTTCCACCGGCAGTATCTGCTGAGAATCGCTTTCTTTGGTGTATTTGAGGAAATTGGAAGCCAGACATATAACGTGAGATTTCATGTTGCAGGTAGGAGCCAAGCAGCTAATGGTATTTGCATCCGGCTGTACGAAAATAAAATAGCAGCTGTTCCGTGACTAGAATCGAAGTGACACATCACTGACAGAATTTGTAATATGATGAAGGCAGTTGGAACATGATCAAAGTAGAAGCGGCATCAAGTCCTAAACCCTCCAAATTATACGTGTATTTACATCATATATCAGCATTCACCGTTACTCATGAATTGTCTGCTTGCAAATCTTCTTTTGAATGGGCAGTGATTGAAATAACGGTGAACTACTTTAGATCTTATTTATAATTTGCTGTCGCTGTTTTCAATGCGATAAAATACTACATGAAATTGATTTAAAGCATATTTCTATCCAGTATGTGTCATAAAAGATAACTATAACCTCAAAAATGACATTGTTGTGGACCTGGAACAGCTTTAAACGACATGTGTCTTTGAAAAACAATCCGTGTGCACGCTGTTACGCTTTCACGGCTTAATGCGAATACTTTCATGGTTCCCGACCCACACCCGACCCACACCCGACCCACACCCGACATGCCCCGATAAAGCAAGGACCACTGGTCATGATTATATAAACATTACCCGAAGTTTTTTTACACAAACTGCACAACGCTGGCACGTGCTTGAAATCGACAGAGAAGGAAGGTCAGAATCAGACGTAGCCGCCTGTTGTGGCTGGGAATTTGTCTCTATCCTCTCAGCTGGCTTTACCTGTAATTAAAGTGCAAATTTAAACATCAACGATGAAATGGTTCTAAAAATACAATACAGTATAATTGTTAACACATTCATATGACAGGAGAGAAATAGAAATATACAGCTAGGGGGCAATTAGCCTACTTAAAGTTGCTTAACCTCACAGCTAAATGCATATATATTGACCTACTGTGAGCTCGTCTATGTTGCAAAAATTCACTAGAACTCATTTGTACTGCTACTTTCATAACATTTCTTCTCAAAATCCAAAGTAGTTCATAGTTTTTCTCCATTGATGGCGGTCAAGCGCAACAGTTTCCCAGGTGCTAGGGTCGATGTTACATTTTTTAGGTTGGCTTTGAGTGCATCATTGTAGCGCTTTCTTTGTCCTCCTCTTGTGCGCTCGCCTTGTCGCAACTGGGAATATAGGACTTGCTTAGGAAATCTGTGGCTAGGCATTCGGGTAACATGGCCAGCTCAGCGAAGTTGGTGACGTATTAACTGTGCTTCGATGCTAGTTGTCTTGGCTTGTAAGAGAATACTAACGTTAGTGCGCCTGTCTTCCCAGCAGATTTGGAGGATCTTTCTTAAGCATCTTTAATAATATTTTCCAGTGCTTTTAGGTGCCTCCTGTATGTGACCCAAGTTTCAGCTCCATATAGTATGGTGGAGACGACAACTGCTTTATAGACTAACAGCTTGATATCAGGTCGTATGTTACGGTCATCAAGGACACGTTTCCTGAGGCAACCAAAGACAGCACTAGCGCACGGAAGTTGATTAGTATATACGTCAGTCTTAAAATATGACTAAGCAGCCAGTTAAGAGGAAAATGATGTGCCCGAGCCTATACCTTCTTATTGAACACGACTCCATACGCCATCGGCATGTGTGTGGGAGGTTCTCTGCCTACGGGGAAATCCAGCTGGTATTCCTGCTTCAACCACCTGATGGTCAGGGGCAGCCTCTCCCACGGAGCCGTCCGTAGCATCTCACAGACGACACGGAAACAATACTCGAATTTCTTCTCTGAGGACCGTTTCCCGGGCAGATGATGAAGGCGGCGTGACTTCTTCGGGTGCTGCCAAGCCCACTCAAACTAGAAGTGAATGGTGTTTAAAATTAAAGGCATACTAGACCCATTGATTATGCAATGTTGACAAATGCTAGAGTAAATGGCACCTTGTGTAGTTAATAAGTACATAACCTTATAGCCAAACGCGTATTAGTTTGTCCTATATCACTGCTGGTTACATTACAAGCAAGACTTGAAATCGGTTGTTGATATTCATTTACGTGCCGTAAATGTCATCCAGGAGTCAAGCGATGACGTAAACATTTGTGCGGCCCGTATGTTTTGGACGCCAGATGAAATAGAGGTGTCAGCGGTGTAACCACGCCCACGGACTAAACATGGAAATGGAGTAAAACACACTTACTAATCACGGACGCACATGGACAGCCCTGACAAAAAGTTCCTTATCACGAGCGTCCGTGTTTACGAAATCACTGATGATAGCATTGCGTACGGCCGAGCATGCGTGCGAAAATGTCCGGTGCACTATAAATCTGTATCACACCCGCTTCGCCGGCAGCGGTTTGAAACTGTAAACAACTGATTTCTTGGACTGCAGATTTCAATTAGACATTTCTTAGTAACCAGCAGTGATATTGGACAAACTAATACGAGTTCGGATGTAAGGTTATGTACTTATTAACTACACAAGGTGCCAGTTACTTTAGAATTCGTTAACATTGCATAATCAATGGGCCTAGTATGCCTTTAATGACTCATAGTGTAAAAAATGGTGGCTTTGTGTTGTGGTGCTGAATTATATTTGTTATTCATATAGTTCAAGTTGTACTTGTAACCTATGTAACTACTGTAAAATAAATGTATCGTCTTATATATCCACATGTCGTCCGTTGTCTGAATTTCGCCCGTCCATGATTGTGTTACGTCATGTTTGTGTTACATCCGCTACCAATTGTGGCTTTAATTGGTAGTGACACTTGTGTTTTTGCCAACAGCTGATCAGCCGTTTTTCTTGATGTGTGATCGCGTAAAATATTATAATTAGAACATTTGGGAGGGTAAAAAAGAGATCGATTTTGGGAGCAGGTAAAGTGAAAGATCTATTTATGGATTCAATAAATTTAGAGCTTGAATTGGGGGAGGGATAGGTAGGAATTGGAAAAGGTAGGAATAGGTGGGCATTGGAAAAGGATATATATACTGTTATTGCAGCTGTTTCCATGGGGGCATAACGGTAGACCGGATTTACATATAACATGAAGGTTATTGTTGTTCATGCTATCGATCTTCGATCGATCTGTATTGCAGATGTGCACGGTATAAGGGGTAGGCATGCATAAATTGACGCTACATAAACCAAACAGCAAAAAGTGAAACATGCCATGCACCCCATCGAATTTAATTTAATTGGATGAACACATGGTGAAAGTGAAGTACTCATTACTTTAGTACTTACTCTGAGTGCGGATATTTTTGTTGGAAACCCATGGATCATCAAAACCATGTCCCTAGCACAGAAAAAGCAATATTTATAACATTAACATTGCAAACTAAACGTACGCTGTTCAAAGTTGAATTGACCCGAATATGAATATCTGCACAACAACGTTTCCGGACGAAGAGCCGCCAGGCTACGCGTCCGGACATCCATCTCACACAGTGAGCTTGCGACACGTACACGCATCATGATTGCGCAATGGGATGCTCTGCTGATTGCTGTGTGTGTGTGTGTGTGTGTGTGTGTGGGGTGGGGTGTGTGTGTGTGTGTGTGTGTGTGTGTGTGTGTGTGTGTGTGTGTGAGAGAGAAGAAGAAGAGAGAGAGAGAGAGAGAGAGAGAGAGAGAGAGAGAGAGAGAG